TTGTTTCGGTTCGGTTGCATTGCTGCCATCGGACGGGTTTGTCAGTAGAGTCGATACACAATCTACGTAGTGCATCAGACGGGTGTCGTGATGATACACAATCTTGAGGTGATACATCAGACGGGTGTTGTCGGTGAAGAGTGTGATACTGTCACGGGTGTCCCCATCAGACAGGTGGTACATCCGGTAAGTGTGTCCTTTAATCCCTAAGGTGGTGTCGGACAGGTGTTGTCAGTGGAGTCTGAAATACAGTCTGCAGATTGCATCGGGTCGTCAGTGATCAAATACACAATATCTGGGTGATGCATCGAACGAAGCTGTTGTCCAATGAAGTGTAATCGGAAAATCTACAAGGTGATACATCAGACGGGTGTTCTCGGTAGGAGTCTCACACAATCTACAAGATGATACATCAGACAGGTGTTGTCAGTAGGTATGATACACAATCAAAGGTACATCAGACAGGTGTTGTCCAATGAAATTAATGATACACAATCTACAAGATACATCAGACGAGATTGTTGTCCAGTAGAGTCGATACACAATCTGAGTGACCCACATCGGGCGGAGTTGTTTGTCCGGTGGGTGTGATGCACGATCTGGTGTTACATCAGACGGGTGTTTGCTCCGGTGGGGTGTGATGCATAATCCTACAAAGGTGATACGTCAGACAGGTGTTGTCCAGTGATTGTGATGCACAATCGGGTGATGCATCAGACAGCTGTTGTCAGGAGAGTCTGAAGTACAATCTCAGGTGATCCATCAGACAGGTGTTGTCAAGTAAGTCTGATACACAATATACAAGGTGATACAATAACAGCTATTTAATCAGTAGAGTGTGATACACAATATACAAGGTGATACATCAGACAGGTGTTCTCAGTAGAGTCTGACGCAATCTAAGGTGATACATAAGGCAGATGTTGTCCCGCAGTGTATGATACACAATCTGGGTGATGCAATCAGACAACTGTTGTCCAGTAGAGTGTGATACAATCTACAAAGTGATACATCAAGAGCAGGTGTTGTCAGTAAAGTCCTGATGATACACAATCTACAAGGTGATACATCGACGGAAGATTGTTGTCCAATGAAGTCTGATACAAAATCGACATGATACATCGACCCGGTGTTGTCCAATGGGGTGTGATGCACGGCCTGCAGTGATACGTCGGACAGCTGTTACGTCGGTGGGAGTGTGGTGCACCAATCTAAGGTGATACATCAGACAGGTTTATACAGTAGAGTCTTGATACACAATCTACAAGGTGATATCGAACCAGGTGTTGTCCAGGTGATGATACACAATCCTACAGGTGATACATCAGACAGGTGTTGTGCAGTGGGTCTGTTTGATCTGGGTGATGCATCGGGCGGACATTTGTCCAGTAGAGTGTGATACACAATCTACAAGGTGCATCGGACGGGTGTTTGTCAGTGAGTCTGTGCACCAATCTGCCAAGGTGCATCAGACAGGTTTTATCCAGTAGAGTCGTTGCAATCTGCGTGGTGATCATCAGACAGGTGTTGTCCAGTGAAGGTGATGCACAATCACCGCAAGGGTGTTCATCAGATAGGTGTTGTCTAGTAGGGGTGTGATTACTGATCTACAAGGTGATACATCGGACAGGTGTTGTCAGTGGTGTGATACACAATCTAAGGTGATACATCAGACAGGTGTTATTAAGTAGAGTCTGACATAATCCTACAGGTGCATCGGTCGGGTGTCAGTAGAGTCCGATGCACAATATACAAGGTGAATTGCGTCAGTTGGCTGTTCGGTGAGTGAGTACAAAATCTACAAGGTGATACATCAGACTGGTGTTCCTCAGTGAGTCTCACTAATAATCTGAGTGTTCCATCAGACAGGTGTTGTCCAGTGGAGTATGTCTACAATCAAAGATACATCAGACAACTGTTGTCAGTAGGTCGATACTACAATCTAAAGGTGATACATCAGGCAGGTGTTGTCAGTAGAGTCTGATACAATCTGTGTGATAAGTCAATTGGGTGTTGTCAGTAGGTGTACAATGTCTGGTGATTACGATGGACGGGTGTCGGTGGGGTGTGATGCACAATCTACAAAAGGTGATACATCAGACGGGTTGCTGTCCCCGGTGGGTCTGACCTGATCTACAGGGTGGTGCAACAGACCAGATGCAGTCCAGTGGAGTCTGACCCACCTGATCCTACAAGGTGATACATCAGACCGGTGCTGTCCGGTGAGTCTGATACACGTCTGCAAGGTGATACATCGGAACGGGTGTTGTCCAGTGAGAGTCTGATACACAATCTAAAGGTGATACACATCAGACAGGTGTTGTCGGTAAGGGTGTGATACACAATCTACGGGTCTTCTCGGACGGGTGTTGTCGGTAGAGGTGTGATGCACAGTCACCTGAGGTGATGCATCTGAACAGGTGTTGTCCAGTGAAAGTCTGAAACACAATCTAAGGTGATGTCAGACAGGTGTTGTCCAGTGAGAGTCTGATTCATAATCTAAAGGTGTGCATCGGACGGGTGTTGTCCAGTAGAGCGTGATACTATGATCTACAAGATACATCGAGGAACCTGGTGTTGATAAGTGGAGTCTGAAACACAATCTGCAGGTGCATCAGACGGGTTTGTCCAGTAGAGTCTGATACACAATATACAAAGGTGATACATCAGACAGCTGTTGTCCAGTAGAGTGTGATACCTGATCTGCAAGACATTACATCGAACAACTGTTCTCAGTAGAGTCTCACACAATCAGAAGGTACATCAGACTGGTGTCCAGTAGAAATTATGATACACAATCTGAAAGGTGATACATCTGACAGGTGTTGTCAATCAGGGGTCTGATGCACAGTCTGCAGGGTGATGCATCCAGGCGGTGTTCGATAGAGTCTGATACACAATCTACAAGGTTATCCATCAAGCCAGTGTTGTCCAGTAGAGTCTGATGCATAATCTACATGGTGATACATCAGGCAGGTGTTATCCAATGAAGTCGATACACAATCACAAGGTGATGCATCAGACAGGTGTTGTCCAGTAGAGTCCTGATTCACAATCTGCAAGGTGCATCAGACAGGTGTTCAGTACATGGTCTGATACACAATCACAAGGTGATACATCAGACAGATGTTGTCCAATGGAAGTCGATACACACAATCCTGAGGTGATACATCAGACAAGGTGTTGTCCGGTAGGTGTGATGCCTGTCTCTAAGGTGATACATCAGACAGGTGTTGTCCAGTAAGTGTGATACACAATCTAATTGATACATATGACAGCTGCTGTCCAGTAGAGTCTGACCTGTCTGCAAAGAGATTGTGCATCAGACAGAGTACTGCTGTCCAATGAAATGACACACAATCTGAGTGATACATCAGACAGGTGTTGACTCCAGTAGAGTCAGCCACTGTGCTGGGTGCATCGGGCAAGGTGCTGTCGGTAGAGTATGACACACAATCTACAGGTGATACATCAGACAGGTGCTGTCAGTGGAGTCAGCCACACAATCTGGAACATTCCCCATCAGACGGGTGCTGTCATTAGAGTCTGACACACAATCTACAAGGTGATACATCAGACAGGTGCTGTCAAGTGATCTGACACCTAATCCTAAATTGATACATCCAGACAGATTTTGTCCAGTAGAAGTCGATGCACAGCCTCTGAAGTGATACATCAGACAGAGTGTTGTCAGTGAGTGTGATACACAATCTACAAGGTGTCCCCATCAGACAGGTGTTGTCCACTAGGAGTCGACACCTATTATGCAAGGTGATGCATCAGACAGGTGTTGTCCAGTAGTCTGATACCTGATCTGCAAGGTGATACATCAGACAGGTGTGGCTCAGTAGAGAGTGTATTGTCCTGAGGTGATGCATCAGACGGGTTTTCACAGTAAGTCTGATGCAATCTGTGGTGATAAATCAGACAGCAGTGGTACTCGGTAGGGGTGTGCACAGTCTGCAAGGTGATACATCAGACGGGTTGTCCCAGTAGAGAGTGTGATGCTATCTGGTGTGCATCGGACAGATTGTTTGCAGTGGGGTCTGATACACAATCTGGTGTATCAGGCAGGTGTTGTCCAATGAAATTCATGCAATCTACAAGATTGTCGAGACGGGTGTCAGTGGGTGTGATGCATAATCCCCAAGGTGATAAGTCGAGACAGGTGTCCAGTGGGAGTGGCCCAGTACCTGATCTGCAAGGGTACATCAGACTGGTGTCAGTGAGTCTGAGCACGATCTACAGGGTGTTATCAGACAGGTGTTGTCAAGTAGAGTCTGATGCCTGTGCAGGTGAAATCTGGCATTCAGTGAGGTGTGATGCACAATCTGGGTGATACATCGAACAGGTGTTCTCAGTAGAGTCTGACACACACAATCCTACAAGGTATTACATAAAGATGTTGTCCAGCAGTGTATGATACTAATCTACAAAGGTGATACATCGAGACGGCTGTTGTCCAGTGAGTCGTGCACAGTCTGCAAAATGATACATGGGGCGGGTCGGTGGGTCTGATGCACAGTCACCGGGTGATGCATACTGACAGGTGCTTGTCCAGTAAGAGTCTGATACAAGCATCCGACATGATGATACATCAGGCAGTGTAGTCCGGTAGAGTGTGATACAGCTACTGCAGGTGATAAATCAGACAACTGTGTCCAGTGGGTGTGATGCAATCTAAAGGTGATGCATCAGACGGGTTTTATACAGTAGGGAGTGTGATACAATCTGGGTGATACATCAGACAGGTGTTGTCCACAGTAGGTGATGATACACAATCTACAAAATTTGATACATCGAACAGGTGTTGTACAGTGGAGTCTGATACAATCTGCAGATTGATACATCAGGCAGGTGTTGTCCCGGTAGAGTGTGATACACAATGTACAAAGGTGATACATCCAGACTGCTGAGTGTTTGTCCGGTGAGTGCAATACACAATCTACAAGGTGATACGTCAGACAGGTGTTGTCAGTAGAGTGTGATACACAATCTACAGGTGATCATCAGACTGGAGTGCACTGTCCAGTGAGGTCTGGGCACACAATCTACAAGGTGATACAACAGACAGGGTGCTACAACTCCCACATTTAGAGGTGTGATACACAATCTGGAGTATACATCAGACAGGTTTGTCAGTAGAGTCTGATACTAATCTACAGTGTGATACATCAGACAGGTGTTGTCCAGTAAGTGATACACAATCCTGGGTGATACATCAGATGAGTGTTGTCAGTAGAGTGTGATACACAATCTGGGTGATGCATCAGACGGGTGTTGTCCTGTAGAGTGTGATACACAATCTACAAAAGGTGATACATCAGACAGCTGTTGGCAGTAGAGTGTGATACAAAATCTACAAAGGTGTTGGCATCAGACGATTATTCTCAGTAGATCTCTAATCTGCAGATTACCATCCAGACGGGTGTTGTCCAGTAGAGTCTGAAACACAATCTGCAGGGTGCGTCAGACAGGTGTTGTCCAGTGAGTCCTGATGCACATTATGCAGGTGATGCATCGGACAGCTGTTGTCCAGTAGAGTGTGATGCCAAAGTCTCTACAAGGTGTTATCAGATAGGTGTTCTCAATGGAATCTCACTACAATCTACAAGGGTGATACATCAGACTGGTGTTGTCAGTAAGTATGATACAATCCAAAGAGTGATATCGAACCTTTATTTGTCCAGTAGAGTCTGATACACAATCTAGTGATACATCAGGCGGGTGTTGTCCAGTAGAGTGTGATACACAATCTACAATGTGATCGTCAGACAGAGTGTTGTCCAGTAGAGTGTGATACACAATGCAAGGTGATACATCGGAACCAGATGTTGTCAAATGGAGTGATACACAATCTACAAGGTGTCCTCAGACAGGTGCTGTCCAGTGAGGTCCTGACACACAATCTGGGTGATGGCAGTGCACACCATGCCTGTTGGGTCAGTGGGAGTGTGCAATCTACAAGGTGATACATCAGACGGGTGCTGTCGGTGAGGTGTGATGCACAATCTGGGGTGATGCATCAGACGGGTGTTCGGTAGAGGTCTGAAGCCCACAATCCTACAAGGTGATACATCAGACAGGTGTTGTCAGTGAAGTCTATTCCCCAAATCTACAAGGTGATACATCAGACAGGTGTTGTCCAGTGAAGTGGTGCACAGTCTGGAGTGGTATCAGGCAGAGTGTTGTCAGAAGTGAGGTCTGAAACACAATCTACAAGGTGATGCATCGGACGGGTGTCCAGTAGAGAGGTCTGATGCACAATGTACAAGGGTGATGCATCGGGCGAAAACATTCGGTAGGTGTGATCTACAATCTACAAAATTGATCTATCAGAATAGGTGTTCTCAGTAGAGTCTCTTTTTGATCTGCAAGGTGCCATCAGACAGGTGTCAGTGAGTATGATACACAATCGAAGGTGATACATCGACAGGTGTTGTCCAGTAGATCTGATACACAATCTCTACAAGGTGATACATCTGAGCAGGTGTTGTCAGTAGGGAGTCGATACAATCTCAACGTGATACATCAGGCAGGTGTGTTGTCAGTAGGGGTCTGTTACTGATCTACAAGGTGATACATCTGACCCAGGTGTTCGGTCGTGGAGAGTCTGATACATAATCTACATGGTGATACATCAGGCAGGTGTTGTCCAGTAGAGTCTGATACACAATCTGCAGGGTGATACATCAGACGGGTGTTGTCAGTGAGGTCGTCTTTTAATCTACAGGGTGCATCAGACGGGTGTTTGTCAGTGGAGGTCTGAGAACACAATCCTACAAGGTGTCTGCATCGGACGGGTCGTCGGTAGGTCGGTGCACAGTATACAAGGTGATACATCAGACAGCTGTTGTCAGTAGGTGTGATACAAAGATCACCTAAGGTGATACATCAGACAGATTGTTCTCCAGTAGAGTCTCCTGATCTACAAGGTGATGCATCAGACGGGTGTCGGTGGGTATGATACCTGATCCAGAAAGGTGATACATGAACAGCTGTTGTCCAGTGAGGAGTCTGTTCACAATCTACAAGGTGCATCAGGCGGAGTGTTCATCCAGTAGGAGTCACAGTCCTAATCTACAATGTGATGCGTCAGACAGGTGTCCCAGTAAGTGTGATACACAATGTCTAAGGTGATACGTCAGACAGGTGTTGTCCATTAGGAGTGTGATACACAGTCTGCAGATTAAATCGGACAGGTGCTGTCCAGTAGAGTCTGACACCTGATCTGCAAGGTGCAACAGTTGAATTAGAGTCCATTTGAGTCGACTACCTATTTCACAAGGTGATACATCAGACTAAGGTGCTCATCCAGTAGGTGTGATGCACAATCTATCGGGTATCAGACAGGTGTTGTCGGTGAGAGTCTGAGAACTGATCTACAGTGATGCATCGGACGAGGAGTTGTCGGTGAGGTCTCACTGTCTACAGTGCATCAGACAGGTGTTGTCCCAGTAGGTATGATGCACAGTCTGAAGGTGATACATCTGTGGAGTGTTGTCCAGTAGAGTCTGATGCACAGTCTGGGTGATGCATCAGGCAGGTGTTGTCCAGTAGGGTCTGATGCACAGTCTGGTGATACATCATCAGGCAGGTGTGATCCAGTAGAGTCTGATACACAATCTAGGTGATACATCGGCAGGTGTTGTCGGTAGAGTCTGATATCATCTATGGTGATACATCAGGCGGGTCAGTAGAGTCTGATTCACAATCTACAAGGTGATACATCAGACAGTGTTGTCCAGTAGAGTCTGATACACAATCACCTACAGATACATCAGACAGGTGTTGTCCAGTAGGGTCTGATGCACAGTCTGCAGGGTGCATATCAGGGCGGGTGTTTGTCCCGGTGGAGTGTGATGCACAATATACAGGTGAATACATCAGACGGTGTTTGTCGGTAAGAGTCTGATTACACAGTATGCAGGGTGATACATCAGACTGATTTTATCTGATAGAGTCTATTTTGATCTGGAAGTGATACATCAGACAGGTGCTGTCAGTGGAGTCCTGACTTTAATCTGCAAGAGTGATACATCAGACAGGTGTTGTCAGTAGAGTGTGATACACAATCTCCTGGTGATACATCAGACAGAGTGCTGTCCAGTAAAGTCTGACACACAATCTACAATTGATACATCAGACAGGTGCTGTTAGTAAGAGTCCTGACACACACAATCCTACAGAGACGATACATCAGACAAGATTGTTGTCCAGTAGAGTCCCTGACATTACACAATGTACAAGGTGTTATCAGACAGGTGCTGTCCAGTAGAGTCTAACACAATCTAAGGTGATACATCAGACAGGTGCTGTCCAGTAGGAGTCTGACACACAAAATCTAAGGTATTACATCAGACAGGGTAACGTCGGTGAAGTCTGACACTGATCTGGGTGATGCATCAGACGGGTGCTGTCGGTGGGGTCTGACACACAATCTAAAGGTGATACATCAGACAGGTGCTGTCAGTAGAGTCTGATACCTTCTAAGTGATACATCAGACGGGTGTTGTCCAGTACAAGGTCTGATACACAATCTAAGGTGATACATCAGGCGGTGTTGTCCAGTAGAGTCAGAATACACAATCTACAATGTGATCGTCAGACAGGTGTTGTCAGTAAGTGTGATACACAATATAAGGTGATCGTCGAACAGGTGTTGTCCAATGAGGGTGTGATACAATCTAAGGTGATACATCGGAACGAGTTGTATCCAGTAGAGTCTGACACACAATCTGAGGTGATACAACAGACAGTGCAGTCTGGGGTAGAGTCTGACCTAATCTACAAGGTGATACATCAGACAGGTGCCAGTAGTAGAGTGTGATACACAATCTACTGGTGTTACATCAGACAGAGTGTTGTCCAGTGAGTCCTGAAACACAATCTACTGTGATACATCAGACGGGTGTTGTCCGGTGGGGTCTCTTTGATCTGCAGATACATCGGAATAGGGTGTTCAGTGAGGTATGATGCAATCGAGGTGATACATCTGACAGGTGTTGTCCAGTGAGGTCTGATGCAATCTGCAGGGGGTGATGCATCAGGCGGGTGTTTGTCAGTAAGTCTGATACACAATCTACAGGGTGCATCAGACGGGTGTGGTCAGTGGAGTCACATTATCCAGGTGATGCATCTGACGGGTGTTGTCCCGGTAGGTCTGATGCACCGTCTGCATGGTGATGCATCAGGCAGGTGTTGTCCGTGAGTCTGATTCTACAATCTAAGGTATTCATCTGAACAGGTGTTGTCCAATGGGGAGTCTGATGCACAGTCTACAGGGTGTGCATCAGACGGGTGTCAGTAGAGTCTGATACTAGTCTGCAGGGTGCATCGAACAGGTGTTGTCCCAGTAGAGTGTGATACACAATATAAGGTGATACATCAGACAGGTGTTGTCCAGCAGTCTGATACAATATACAAGGTATTACATCAGACAGATTGCTGTCGAGGTGAGTCTGTGCAATCTGCAAGGTGCATCAGACAGGTGCTGTCAATGATCTGACACACAATCTACAAAGATACATCAGACAGGTGTTGTCGGTGAGTGTGATGCAATCTAGGTGATACATCAGACAGATTAATTCTCCAGTAGAGTCAATACACAATCTTCTAAGTGATACATCAGACGGAGTTGCTTGTCCGGTGAAGTCTGACTTTAATCTACAAAAGGTGATACATCAGACAGGTGTTTGTCCAGTGAGGGTCTGATACTGTGTACGAGGTGCATCGGACAGGTGCGTCGGTAGGTATAACACTGATCTGGGTATTATCTGAACCGGTGCTGTCAGTGGGGTCTGACACTGATGATCTCACAGGGTGGGTACATCAGACAGGTGCTGTCGGTAGAGGTCTGACACTGTCTACTAAAGGTGATATCAGACGGTGCTGTCCAGTGAGAGTCTGACACACAATCTGGTGATACATCAGACAGGTGCTGTCGAGAGTCTGATGCACAACCTAAGTGATGCATCTGAACTAGGTGTTGTCCAGTAGAGTCTGATACACAATCTACAAGAACGATACATCAGACAGGTGTTGTCCACTGAAGTCTGACATGTACTGGGTGATATCAGACAGGTGTTGTCCAGTAGAGTCTGATACACAATCTAGGTGATACATCAGACAGGTGTCCAGTGATGTATTACAATCTGGTGATGCATCAGACAGGGTTTTTGTCCAGTGGAGTCCATTTTAGTCTGCATGAGTGTCCATCTGACAAATTATTTATCCCGGTAAGAGTGTATTCTACAATCTACAAGGTCATACATCAGTGGGTGTCCAGTGAGTGTGTTCACAATCTGGGTGACACATGAACAGGTGTTGCTTTGAGTAGAGTCCCTGATACACAATCTACAAGGTAATACATCAGGCAGTGTTGTCGATAGAGAGTGTCACAATCTACAAAGGTATTCATCAGACAGGTGTCAGTAAGTGTGATATAATCTCTACAAGATTCAGACAGGTGTTGTCAGTGAGAGTGTGATGCACAATCTAAGGTGTTACATCAGACAGTGTTGTCCCAGTGGAGTCTGGCTTAATCTACAAGGTGATACATCAGACAGATTGTCAAAGTAGGAGTCTGATACACAATATACTGGTGATGCATCAGACCTTGGTGTTCTCCAGTAGAGTCACATTACACAATCTGCAAAGGTGATACATAAGAGCAGATGTTGTCCCAGCAGTGTATGATACACAATCTATAATTGATACATCGGACATGATGTTGTCAGTAGGAGTCTGATACACAATATACAATTACATCAGACAGGTGTTCTCCAGTAAGAGTCTGTCTACAAAAGGTGTTATTAAAATGAATTTTGTCCAGTGAGTGTGATACACAATCTACAGGTGTCTATCAGAACTAAGAGTGTTGTCCAGTAAGAGTCTGAGCACCCAGTCTGCAAAGGTGATACATCAGACAGGTGTTGTCCGGTAGGGTCTGATGCAATATACAGGTGATGCATCAGACGCTGAGCATCCCAGTAAGAGTGATACAAAATCTACAAGAGTGATACATCAGACAGGTGTTCTCCAGTAGAGTCTCTGTGAAGTCTGGGGTGATACATCGAGACTGAGTGTTACTCCAGTAGAGTATGATACACAATCAAGGCGATACATCGAACTAGCTGTTGTCCAGTGAGTCCTGATACAATCTAATAGTGATACATCAGCCAGGTGTTGTCCAGTAGAGTCTGATACACAATCTAAATGTGATACATCATTTAGGTGTTGTCCAGGCAAGTGTGATACACAATATACAAAGGTGATACGTCAGACAGGGGTGGTGTCCAGTAAGTGTGATACACAATCTACAGGTGATACATCAGACAGGTTTATCCAGTAGGAGTCTGATACACAATCTGCATGGTGATACATCTGACGGGTGTTTATCCCAGTGTGCTAATCTGGGTGATACATCGAACAGGTGTTGTCCCAGTGGGGTGTGATGCAATCCCTGAGGTGGCATGAGGACGGGTGTTTGCAGTAAGTCTGATACACAATCTGAGTAATACATCAGGCAGGTGTTGATGCAGTGGGTGTGTACACAATCTACAGGTGATGTCAGTTGGGTGTTCGGTGGGGTGTGATGCATGATCTACAAGGTGATGCGTCGGACGGGTGTTTGTCCCCATTAGAGTGTGATGCAATCTGCAGGTGATGCATCGAGACGGGTGTTCAGTAGAGTCTGAAACACAATCTACAAGGTGATACATCGGGCAGGTGTTTCATTCGTGGAGTCTGATACACAATATACAGGTGATACATCAGACAGGTGTTTCTCCAGTAGAGTCTGACCTTTGTCTACAGGTGATACATAAGGCAGATGTTGTCCAACGGTGTGTGATGCAATCTAAGGTGATACGTCAGACGGGTGTCCAGTGGGGTCTGATGCAATGCAGGGTGATGCATCGGACTTAGGTGTTCTCCAGTAGAGTCTGACGCACAGTCTGCAGGGTGCATGGGCCGGATTTTGTCGGTGGGTGTGATGCACAGTCTGGGTGTCAGACAGGGTGTTCGGTAGAGTCTGAAACACAATCTACAATTGAATCCCATCAGACAGAGTGTTGTCCAGTAGAGTCGATACACACAATACAAGGCTGTTATCGAACTGAGCTGTTGTCCAGTGGGATGTGATACCAAAGTCTGCAAGGGTGATGCATCGGACAGATTTTGCTCCAGTGAGAGTCTCACACAATCTACAAGGTGATACATCAGACCAGGTGTTGTCAGTAGAAATGCATGGTCTGCAATCAAAAGGTGACACATCAGACAACTGTTATCCAGTGAGAGTCTGATACTGAATCTGCGTGGTGCATCGGCCAGGTGTCCAGTAGAGTCTGATACACAATCTACAGTGATCAGACAGGTGTTTGTCCAGTGGAGGTGTGATGCACGATATGCAGGGTGATGCGTCAGACAGGTGTTGGTGAGGTGTGATGCAATCCAAAGGTGATACATCGGACGGGTTAACATTCAGTGAGGTCTGACACACAATCTACAGAGATTACTGACGGACGGAATGCAGTCCGGTAGGGTCACACTTTTGATCTTACCATGGTGGTGCATCAGACAGGGTCTTGTCCCGGTGGGTGTGATGCACAGTCTGCAGGGTGATACATCAGACAGGTGTTGTCGGTGGGGTCTGGAGCACAGTCTGGTGATACATCAGACAGAGTGTTGTCCAGTAGAGTCTGACCACTGATCTGCAAGGGTGATACATCAGACAGGTGTTGTCCAGTAGAGTGTGATACACAATCCCTGAGGTGGTCATCCAGACGGGTGATGAAATGCAGTCTGAAACTTGTCCTACAGGTGATACATCAGACAGGTGTTGTCAGTAGGAGTCTGATACTAATACAAGGTGATACATCAGACAGCTGGTGTCCCAGTGGGAGTTAGTGCACAGTCTCTGGGTGATACATCAGACGGGTTGCTCCAGTGAGGTCTCACACAATCTACAAGGTGGAAATACATCAGGCAAGGTGTTGTCCCAGTGAGTATGATGCACTGATCTGAGGTGGTGCGTCTGGTGTTGTCAGTAGAGTCAGTGCAGTCTGGGTGCATCAGAGCAGGTGTTGTCCGGTGAGTCTGATGCACAGTCTGCAAGGTGCATCAGGCAGGTGTAGTCCAGTGAGAGTCCTGATACCTCAATCCTACTGGGTGATACATCTGACAGGTGTTGTCAGGTGATCTGTCCTCTAATCCTGCATGGTGATACATCAGGCAGGTGTTGTCAGTAGAAGTCTGATCCCCATCTAAAATTGATACATCAGACAGGTGTTGTCAATGGAGTCTGATTCTGTCTGGTGCATCAGACGGGTGTTTGTCCAGTAGAGTCTGATACACAATCTACAGGTGATACATCAGACAGGTGTTGTCAGTAGAGTCTGATACACAGTCTCTGAGGTGATGCATCAGACGGGTGTTCCGGTAAAGTGTGATGCGCAGGTGATACATCAGACAGGTGTTGTCAGTAAAGTCCTGACCCTAATACAAGATGATACATCAGACGGGTGCTGTCCAGTAGGAGTCTGACACACAGTCTACAGGTGATACATCAGACAGGTGTTGTCCAGTAGAGTCTGTTACTAATCTGCAAAGTGATACATCAGACAAGTGTTTTAATCCAGTAGAGTGTGATACACAATCTGAGTGATACATCAGACAGAACTTGTCGGTGAAGTCCTGACACTGTCTGGTGATGCATCGGACGGGTGCTATCAGTGAGTCTGACCTAATAACCTGGGAGTGATACATCAGACCAAGTTGCTGTCCCGGTAGGTATGACACTACAATCTACAAGGTGATACATCATACAGGTGCTGTCAGTAGAGTCTGACACAATCTACAAGGTGATACATCCAGACCAAGTGCTGCTCCATTGAGGTCACCAGTGCAGCCTTCTAGAGTGTGCATCAGACAGGTGTTGTCCAGTGAGTGTGATACACAATCTACAAGGTGATACATCAGACAAGTGTTGTCCACTGGAGTCTGACACATAATATACAAGGTGATATCAGACAGATTGCTGTCGGTAGAAGTCTGATGCACAATCTAGGTGATACATCAGACGGGTGTTGTCAATGAAGTGTGATACCCTATTTCTAAAGGTTGATGCATCGGACGGAGGTTTTATCAGTAGGAGTCTGATGCTGATCTGCATGGTGCATCAGACAAATTGTTATCGGTAGGAGTGTGATACACAATCTGAGGTGATACATCAGACAGGTGTTGTCCAGTGAGTGTGATACACAATCTACAAAGGTGATACATAGAGACAGTTTTTGGTAGGAGTCTGATTACAATCTGAGTAATATCAGGCAGGTGTTGTCCAGTAAGGGGTGTGATACATCTACAAGGTGTGCATCCAGACGGGTGTCCCAGTGGGGGTGTGATGCATGATCTACAGGTGATAAGTCGAACAGGTGTTCGTCGGTAAGGTGTGATACACAAATCTGGGTGATGCCTATCAAGACAGGTGTTGTCCAATGAGTCTGAAACACAATCTGGGTGTTAAATCCCAGACAGGGTGTTTATCCAAGTGAAGTCCAATTACTGATATACCAAGATTGTTCTATCGGACGGGTTCTCCCAGTAAAGTCGACACACAGTCACCACAAAGGTGATACATAGGTAGATGTTGTCCAGCAGTGTGTGATACCTGTCCTAAGGTGATCATCGAACAACTGTTGTCCAAGTAGAGTCGATACACAGTCTGCAGGGGTGCATCAGGCAGGGTGTTGTCCTAGTGGGAGTCTGATACACAATCTGCAGGGTGGGTACATCACGTGAGTGTCAGTAGAGTCATTAAAATCTCATGATGATACATCAGCTAGGTGTTGTCCAATGGGGGTGTGATTACTGACCTGCAAGTGATGCATCAGTAGGTGTCCAGTAGAGTCCTGATACAGTCTGGGTGCACAGACAGGTATTCCCATCCAGTAGAGTCTGATACACAATCTAAGGTGATGGGGACACTCATGTTGTCCAATGGGAATTCCCTGATACACAATCTAGGAAGTGAGCATCGGTGAGGGTCAGTGAGGTCTGATACAATCTGGGTGATGCATCCAGACCCGGTGTTTGTCCCGGTAGGTCTCGTTACACAATCTACAATTCTATCCACACAGGTGTTGTCAGTAGGGTCGGTGCCTACAGAGTGATGCATCAGGCGGGTGTTGTCCAGTAGGTCTGATACAATCTACAAGGTGATACATCCTGACAGCTGTTGTCCAATGAAGTCAATCCCCACAGATCTCAAAGTGATACATCAGGCGGGTGTCCCAGTGGGGTCTGATGCACTGATCTGAGGGTGCATCGGGTGGCTGTTGATAAAAGCAGAGTCTGATACACAATCTACAAGGTGATACATCGACGGCTGTTTGATGGTGAGGTCTGTTAGGTCACAAGGTGATACAGGTACATGTGTTGTCCAGTAGAGTCTGATGCACAGCCTACAAAGTGATACAACGGACGGGTGTTTGTGCAGTAGAGGAGTCTGATGCAATCACAAGGCATTGCATCGGACAGTTGTTTGATAAGTGGAGTCACGATTCACAATCTAAAAGATTGATACATCAGACAGGTGTCCAGTAGAAGTCAATTCTAATCTAAAGTGATACATCAGACAACTGTTGTCCAATGAGTCTAATACACAATCTGCAAAGTGATGCATCAGACAGGTGTTGTCCAGTAGAAGCGATACACAATCTACAAAGGTGATACATCAGACAGCTGTTGTCCAGTAGAGTGATACACAATCTACAAGGTGATACATCGAACTGGAAGTGTTGTCCAAGTAAAGTCTTATACACAATCTACACAAGGTGATACATCAGACAGGTGTCGGTGAGGTGTCTGCTGCACAATCTACAAGGTGATATCGAACAGGTGTTGTCCAATGGGTGTTACTATACCTTTATTCATCAGACAGGTGTTGTCCCATTGAGTCTGATGCTTTTATTACAAAATTGATACATCAGACAGTGTTGTCCAGTAAAGTCCTGATACACTTTGCTCCCTAAATTAAATCACATCAGACGGGTGTTTGTCCAGTAGAGTCCTGATGCTGCAGCCTGCTAGTGATATCAGGCAGGTGTTGTCCAGTAGAGTCTGATGCACCCAACCCTATAAAGTACATCCAGACGGGTGTTTGTCCCGAGTGAAGTCCCTGAAACACAATCTACAAGGTGATACATCAGACGGGTGTTGTCCCATTGGAGTCTGATGCACAATGGCAGGTGATGCATCGAGACTGGCTGTTTGTCCAGTAGAGTGTGATACAAAATCTACAAGGTGATACATCAGACAGGTGTTCTCCAGTACAAGTCTCACAAATAAAAGACGTGCATCGAACAGAGTGCTGTCCAGTGATATGATACACAATCCAAAAGAGTGATACATCGAATAGCACAGTCGGTGAGGTATGATGCACAGTCTACAAGGTGATACATCAGGCAGAGTGTTCATCGTAGAGTCTGATACACAATCTACAATGTGTGCGTCGAGACGGGTGTTGTCCGGTGAAGTCTGATACACAATATACAGGTGTGCGTCAGACGGGTGTTGTCCAGTAGAGTGTGATGCACAGTCTACAGGTGATACATCCCAGACGGGTGCTTGTCCAGTATTAGAGTCCTAGCCACAATCTCTAAGAGTGATACAACAGACGAATTGCGGAGTCATTAGAAAGTCTGACACACTGATCTGCAAGGTGATGCATCAGACAGGTGCTGTCAAGTAGAAGTGTAATCTACAATCTAAGGTGATACATCAGACAAATTGTTGTCCCATTGAGTCTGAGAGCACAGTCTACACAAAGGTGATACATCAGACGATTCGTTGTCAGTAGAGTCCTGATACACAATCCTACAAGGTGATACATCAGACAGGTGTCCAGTGAGTGTGATGCACCCAATCTGAGGTGATACATCAGACAAGGTGTTGTCCAGTAGGAGTCTGAAACACAATCTGGGTGATGCATCGGACGGGTGTTTTGCTCAGTGAAGGTCTGATACACAATATACAAGGTGATACATCAGACAGCTGTTGTCCAGTGAGTGTGATACACAATCTACAAAGGTGTCCCCATCAGACAGGTGTTCTCAGTGAGTCTCCTACAATCTACTAAGGGTGATACATCAGACGGTGTTGTCCAGTGAGTGTGATGCACAATCCTAGTGATACATCCTGACAGGTGTTGTCCCAGTAGGAGTCTGATGCACAGTCTACAGGTGATGCATCCAGGCGGGTGTTTGTCCCAGTAGAAGTCTAATCACACAGTCTGCAGGGTGATGCATCAGGCAGGTGTAGTCAGTAGGTCGATCTGATCTACAGGGTGATACATCTGACAGGTGTTGTCCAGTAGAGTCTGATACATATTGTCTACATGGTGATACATCAGGCAGGTGTTGTCCAGCAGTAGAATCTGATACACAATCTACAAAATTGATACAATGAACAGTGTTGTCCCGAGTAGTCCTGATTCACAATCTACAAGGTGATACATCAGACAGGTGTTTGTCCAGTAGAGTCTGTTACTGCAGTCTGTAGGGTCCACATCAGACAGAGTGTTGTCAGTGAGGGGTCTGATGCACAATCTCATGGTGTGTCCAGACGGAGGTGTGATTACACAATATGCAAGTGTTACATCCAGACAGATTGTTTGTCCCGGTAGGGTCTGATGCACAATGAGTGATACATCCAGACGGGTGCTGTCAGTGAGGAGTCGACTTGTCTGCAAGGTGATGCATCAGACTAGGTGCATCCCGGTAGGGTCCTGACACACAATCTCTGGGTGATATCTCAGACAGAGTGTTGATACAGTGGGGTGTGTGCACAGTCTACAAGGTGATACATCAGACAGGTGCTGTCTATTAAGGTCAAGCACACAAATCTAAGGTGTCCCTCAGACCAGGTATCCAGTAGGTCTGATTTTGATCTGCAGGGTGCATCAGACAGGTGTTGTCCGGTGGAGTCCCGACTACTGATAATGCAAGGTGATACATCGAACTGGGTGCTGTCGGTAGGTGTGACTGCTGATCTGCAGAATTTGATGCATCGAATATGGTGCTGTCAGTGGAGTCTGACACAATCTACAAGGTGCATCAGACAGGTGCTGTCGGTAGGGTCTGACGCAATCTGCGGGTGCATCCGGACGGGTTAACGTCACAGTAGAGTCTGACACAATCTGCGGGTGAATTGCATCGGACGGGTGCTGTCAGTGAGAGGTCTGATGCGTATACAGAGTGCATCCGGACGGGTCGGTGAAATTGTGATACACGGTCTGCGAATTTGCATCCCGGACAAGTTGGTAAAACAGGAGTCTGACACACCCAATGTAAAGGTGATACATCGGACGGGTTCGGTAGGTGTGATGCACAATCTACAGGTGATACATCAGACGGGTTTGTCAGTTGAGTCATTGCACGATCTGCGTGGTGTGGACAGGTGTTATCCGAGTAAATTAGTGATACACACAATCTGGGTGATACATCAGACGGGTGTTGTCCGGTAGGTGTGATGCAATCTACCAAGGGTGATGCGTGAACCAAGGTGTTGCTGGTAGAGTCTGATGCACAATCAGGTAATACATCAGGTGTTTGTCAGTAAAGTTGATGCCCTGAAATCTGGAACGTCAGACCAGATTCGACGTCCAGTGGAATTGATGCATAATCTACAAGGTGATCAGACAAGGTGTTGTCCAGTAGAGTGTGATGCAATCTACAAGGTGATACATCAGACAGGTGTTACGTCAGTGGGAGTCTGAGCAATCTACAAGGTGAACCGCATCAGACGGGTGTTGTCGTAGAGTCTGATACACAATACAAGGTGATACGTCGGACGGGTTGTTTATCGGTGGGGTCTGACGCAGTCTGCACAGGGTGATGCATGGGCAGATGTTGTCCAGCTGGTCTTATGATACACAATCTGCGGAACGATACATCAGACAGCTGTTGTCCAGTAGGAAGTCTGATACACAATCTAGAAAGTGATACATCAGGCGGGTGTTGGTCAGGTGGAAGTCTGATGCACACAATCATACAAGGTGATTGATACATCTGATTGGGTGTTTAATCCAGTAGAGTCCTGATACAAAATCCTGCATGGTAATTCATCGGGCGGGTGTTCACGGTGGGAGTTGTGATTAGCATTTCCTTCGATGGTACATCAGACGGGTGTTGTCCCGTAGAGTCTGATACACAATCTACAAGGTGGTACTTGGAACCGGAGTTGTTGTCCAGTGAGTCGTGCACAGTCTTTCACAAGGTGATACAGAGGACATGTGTTGTCCAATAGAAGTCTGATACACAATCTAGAAGTGAAACATCAGAGCAGGTGTTGTCCAGTAGAGTCTATTCCCACAATCTCAGGTGATACATCAGACAGGTGTTGTCGGTGAGAGTCTGATACACAATCTACTGATACATCGGTGGTCCAGTAGAGTCTGATGCACACCCTACAAATTGCATCAGGCAGGTGTTGTCCAGTAGAGTCTGGTACACAATCTACTGGGTGACCAATCTGACAGCTGTTGTCCAATGATCCTGATACGCAGTCTCCGAAATTGATGCATCAGGCAGGTGTTGTCCGGTAGGTGGTGCTGAAATCTAAGGTGATACAATAAGACAGCTGAACGATGGCAGAGTCTGATGCACGATCTGCAGGGTGATTACGTCTGACGGCTGTTTGTTGGTAAGTCTGATACACAGTCCACAAGGGTGATGCAGGGTGCATGTGTTCGGTGAGTCTAATTCACAGCCTACCAGTGATACAGCAGACAGGTGTGGTGAGTCTGATGCACAACCACAAAGGTGATACATCAGACAGGTGTTGTCAGTGAGTCTGATTCACAATCCTAAAGGGTGTTCACATCAAGTAGGTGTTGGCATCCAGTAGGGGTCCTTGGTTTACTGAAATCTAAAAGGTGATACATCAGACAGGTGTTCAATCAATTAAAGTCCTGATTCACAATCAAAAGGTGATACATCAGACAACTGTTGTCCGAGTAAAGTCTAATACCACAATCTACAAAGTGATACATCAGACGGAATTATTTACGGCTCCAGTACGAAGCTGATACACAATCTGGTGATACATCAGCAGACGGCTCTGTTGTCGATTAGGGTGTGCACTGATCTGCAAGGTGCATCGGACGGGTGTTTGTCCAGTAAAGTCATATACACAATCAGGTGATACATCAGACAGGTCATTTGTCCGAAGTGAATTCGTCCTGGTGCTTTGTAATCTATAAGGTGCGTCAGACTGGGTGTTGTCCGAGTGGGGTCTGATGCACAGCCACCACTAAAGGTGATACATCGGACGGGTGTTCAGTAGAGTCTGATGCACAACCTACAAAATTGATACATCAGACTAGGTGTTTGTCAATTAGAGTCTGATGCACAGCCTACAAAGGTGATACACCATCGAAGGCCAGGTGTTGTCCAGTGAGTCTGATGCGCGGCCACTAAAGATTGATACAGGACATTTGCGTTTGAGGAAAGAATGATGCACGATGTTGCGGTGGGGTCTCATTGCGTTTTGGGTGCTGATGTATGGTGGCTTGTCGGTATTGAGCCCAATGCACAATCTATGGAAGGCCATCGGACCTATCCATTTGCAACCTGTTCACAAAATCGGTGATACGGTTGGGGTTGCTATCGGATTGGGTTATGATTTTAGTAGTTCAAAGCTGAATAGTCTGCAAAGGTGACACATCAAGCAGGTGTGTTGATGGGATTTTCGATCCCCTCACTTAATGATACGCTAAGACGGGTATTGCCAGATAGAGACCCTGATACGCAACCTTACTTAATGATACATAAGACGGGGTGTTATTGCCCGATAGAGACCCTGATGCACAATCTTACTTAATGAAACATAAGACAGGTATTGCTGATAGAGACCCTGATGCGCAATCTGCTTATTGATACATGGACGGGCCTTGCATTAAGGTTGATGCACAGGCCTGCTTATTGATGCATAGGGCAGGTGTTGCTTCCCGATGGGATACCCGATTACTGCAATCTTAGCAATATTGATACATAGACAGGTCTTGCCGGTGGGACCTGATACACAATCCCTACTTAATGATGCATAAGACGAATTATTGCCCGATAGAGACCGATGCTGATCTTGCTTGTGTTACATAAGACAGAGTGTGCCCGATAGAGACCTAATGCACAATCTTACTTAATGATACATAAGACCAGGTATTGCTTGCGATGGGGACGCAGTGCTGATCTGGCAAGCAGTACATGGAACAGGTATTTGCCGATGGGACCCGATTACTTACAATCTTATTTAATGATACATAAGACTGGGTATTGCCCGATAGAGACCTGATGCATGAAATCTTACTTAATGATACACCAAGACCAGGTATTGCCCCGATAGAGACCTGATACACAATCCTACTTAATGATGCATAGGGCCAGTGTTGTTGCCCGATAGAGACCTGATACACAATCCTGCTTGGCGTTACATAAGACAGATATTGCCAGATGAGAGACCTGATTTCTGAATCTTGCTTAATGATACATAAGACGAATTATTGCCCGATAGAGACCTAATGCACAATCTTACTTAATGATACATAAGACAGGTATTTGCCCGATGGGGACGCGATTGCTGATCTTGCCCTTGCCTTGCATGGAGCAGGTGTATTGCCCTGATAGGGGACCTGATACACAATCTTATTTAATGATACATAAGACAGGTATTGCCCGATAGGGACCTGATGCACAATTCTTAATGATACATAAGACAGGTATTGCCCGATAGAGATCTCCGATACACAATCCTGCTTAATGATACATAAGACCAGGTATTGCCCGATAGAGACCTGATACACAATCCTACTTAATGATACTTAAGACAGTGCATACCTCCCATCCCTCTGTATATGTTAGTGTATCTGCTTTATCATCGTACATCTGTGAATCTTCGAATCTAATTTATCACCTTTACCACCTTTCTTTACTTATGTTATGTACCAACCTCCTATTCCTATCTGTGTGCACCAGCCACATCTCTTCATATATGTCTATACAACCACCTCTCTTCGTGTATGTCATATACAGCCACCTCTCTTCATATATGTCTATGTAACCACTCTCTCCTATTCTGTGTTGCACCAACCACATCTCTTCATATATGTCTATACAACCACCTCTCTTCATATATGTCTATACATACCTCTCTTCATATATGTCTATTACTAACCACCTCTCTCCGTATCTGTGTGTGCACCAGCCACATCTTTTCATATGTGTCTATACAACCACCCTCTTCTTCATATACGTGCCTATACAACCACCTCTCTTCTTATATACCTATACAGACACCTCTCTCTTTCATATATGTCTATACAACCACCTCTCTTCTAGCGTATGTCTATATTAACCAATTCTCTTCATATATGTCTATACAACCACCTCTCTTTCTCATATGTCAATACAACCACCTCTCCCAGATTCTAAAACCAACCACCTCTCTTCATATATGTCCTATACAACCACCTCTCTTCATGGCAATGTATACAACCACCTCTCTCTTTCTGTATATGTCTATACAAACTTACTCCTCTCCATTTGTAGGTACACCAACCACCTCTCTCTATATATGTTCATACAACCATCTTCCTGTATCTGTGTATTAATTAACCACCTCTCTTCTATATATAAGTCTATAAAACACCTCTCTTCATGTAGTGCAACCACAACCATTTCTCTATATATATTGTCAGCAACTTCACCTTCCGTGTCTGTGTATACCAAACTAATTCTCTTCATATATGTCTATATTAACCACCTCTCTCGTCATATATACTATAGATAACCACCTCTCTTCATATATGTCTATACAACCACCTCTCTCTTCACATATGCTCAATACAATACCACCCTCCTCTCCGTATCTGTACACCAACCACCTCTCTTCTTCTGTATAAGTCATGTGTAAGTACAAACACCTCTCTTTCATATATGTCTATACATACCAATTTCTTCATATATGTCTATACAACCTCCTTTTCTTCACATATGTCTATACGACTCCTCTTCTATGTATGTCTATACATAGCCACCTCTATTCAAAAAATGTATTACCAGCATCTCTCCATATGTCTCCTATAAAAACTACCTCTCATGCATATGTGTCTATACAGCCACCTCTATTCATATATGTGCTATACAACCACCCTCCTCTTCATATATGCTCCTTATACAACCACCTCTCCGTATCTGTATACTTGGCAACATGCCTCTTCTATATCATATGTCTATACAGCCACCTCTCTTCAGGAGTGGTGTCTATACAACCACTTCTCTGTATCTGTATACACCAAATTCACTCTCTTCATATACTGTCTATATTACAATCATTTCTCCGTGTCTGTGTACAATTCAACCGCCTCTCTTCTCATATGTGTGTCTATACAACCACCTCTCCGTATCTGTGCAATACCAACCAATTCTCTTCATATGTGTCTATATTGTAACCACCTCCTCCGTATCTGTGTACACTAACCACCTCTCCTTCATATATGTCTATACAACCACCTCTCCTGTATCTGTGTGCACACCAACCACCTCTTCATCATATATAGTCTATACAAACACCTCTCTCCGTATCTGTGGCACCAACCACCTCTCTTCATATATGTCCTATACAACCACCTCTCCGTATCTGTGTACAATTCAAACCTCTCTTCATATATGTCATCATAACCATCCCTCTCCGTATCTTGACTGTACACCAACCAATCTCTCGTCATATATATGTCCCAATACAACCACCTTTCCGTACTCTGTGTACACCAACCACCTCTCGTCATATATATGTCTATACAACCACCTTCTCCGTATATAAAAAATCAACCCCCTTTTACGTATAAGTCACCAATCACATACAAGTTTGTATACATGCAATAAATCTCAGATCTCTCTTGTATACAAGTGTGATAACCAAACACGCATGTCTGTGGATATCCGTGGCCCGATAGCATATGTTACAAATATGTAAGTATTTATTTTATGTTTGTGTGTTGTGATATTATGCATATTTACACGATTCCGTCAGGATTATGTATATTTACTTACATTTTTCAGGGAAAATGTATTTACTCAAATCTATACCCATTCATTATACATATTTACTGGACAAGTCAAAGATCTAATCAAGAAAAGAAATATAAACAAAAGATTTGTTTGTTTGTTCACTTTATTTAATGTCTTGTTCGTTACTTCAAAGGGACTCGGACAATTAGTATTCAGCACTCCTCAATTATTTTTTGGCAGTATCAACCACTTATCTGGATACTTTATGTGTCAACTATGTCTCATTATCTGTTCA